GCTTAAAATTTCCAGTTCACAGAAATATTTTTAAAGACGTATCCGGTGGACTGAGTTTTGGAAATTCGTTCCAACACGACACTGCATTGGATGAGCAGATTGAAGATGGATGGATGGATGGATGGGTGGATGGATGGATAGATGGGTGGGTTTGCCGGACAGATGGATGTCCTCTGTGTTTGTGTTTTGCGGATTTGTTTGTGGATCACAGTGAGGCTCTCAGGCACCTGAAGGCTCACGCAAAGCTGCTCCTCTCAGCTATGAAAGCCTCCCCGGGTCCTCGGAGATTACGTTCCAGTGGCGGGCCGAGTCCAGAGTCCACTCCCACCCCGTCGATCTGAAGAGGCACAATCTGAGAGCTGAAGCACCTGACGTCCCCCCCCCCCCCCCCAATCTCGACCAGTCCCTAAGCCCCTTTCGCTTTTAGGTCACTCCAGCAGGGAGGAAATATTGCTTCTTCAGGGGTGTCCTTTTTTCAAGAGTGGGTGCCGTCAACGGTAGCCCAGAATGCACATGACCCACGCGGACGGTACTTCACAGATCAGACCGGATCATGGCGGTCCGGAAGAGGACGGGACTGGCCTCGTTCTTCCGAGCCATCTGCCGTGAAGTTTCATGGAATCGCAAGCCGGCTAGCCACACTCTGGGCCTTTCATTATCCAGGGAGCAAATGTAGGCTGTACATTTCAGTAGGATTTATGTAAGAAGGACGTTTCCAGAAGGTGTCCAGTTCAGGAGTTTGCTGTGTGTGGGAGTCTGTGGATCAGGTTCAGTTATTAGACTGGGGGCTGATTTGGTAAATGCCCTGAGGGGAAGAGACCAGAAAACACACACACACACATACCTCTGTATGACAGTGTTTGCTCTGTCATCAGTTCCTTAAGGATATTCCTGTTGACTGATGAAGCCAAAATATCACGATCAGCGGGGATAGCCGAGCATCTCATATAAGCTACTGGCCCGATATCCAATTACAGGCAGAACATGCCACAGGAATGCAGGAGAAGGTCTCCACGTGTGCCAGGAAAGCAAAATGTACCGGCTAAAGAGCAGAATTTAAGGCAGGACTAATGGGAAAGAGGTCCTGTAACGGGCATTGCGGGGTTTGGGCCCACGCAGGCAGTGACACGGCTGTCTTCCAGCAGAAGAACATTACACCCCCCCGGCCTCCGCACTGCGCCCCCATATCCAGGGTGCTGTCGAAACTTCATAATTAACATACTGATAGACATGGCCGTTTTACTCGTAGTCAACCATCCTGAGACAGAATGTTCCAGAAAACTACCTTTCATGTATTTTTTGAAAACTCCCCCCTCCCCCCCCCCCAAATTAAAGGCAGTTTTGGCTGTAAATGCAGGGGAGGAGCGTAAATTAACCAGAGTGTCAACAACACTTCTGGCCAGCTGCATGACCTATTCCTGCTTTTTAAATCACTTTAGCGTTGTGTATGTTCATGTGCATTGCACTGATGCAGCGATTGGGACAACAGGTATGTACTGCATCTAAAATATGAAATAATTTCAATTTTTGTGTTTTTTGAATTAATGGGATCTCAGTTATGGGAGGGGCATCTGCTTGTGGAAAAATATGACCAGAAAGTGGTAGGAATCAGTCAAGCGCTTTGGACTGGCTGGATTGTGTTAATGCTAGACCATCAGCTGCTGGGGGCGCCGTGGAGCAGAATAAGAAACAATCGTTCCCCCCAATAATACTCACCATTCAGGCTGTTTAAAGCCAGTATGTCGAAACTCATCCTGTTATTTCTACTTTAGTCTAAAAACTAAAACCTTGACCAAAACATTGTTATTCAAGGACATAACATAGACAGACTGTAGGTCTCAGTCACTGTATGGTGTATGGCGTGTCATTTTAGTCACTGTCCTAAAAATATTATGGTACTGATGCTTTAAATACAGTTTCTGTTAACGAAGAGGGAAAATATATATTAATGTTTTGCTTGCAATGTTTTGGGTGTTGGAGGGGCATGGCTAACCTGGCAGATCTTGGGGGGGGGGGGGGCAACACTTTGCAGGGGCCTTTGAATATGTAAAATTATAAAACAGTATAGTGTCCAAGGTGACATTTTGTCAGGGGGGCCTGGAATTTCTGTCTGTGCCCCTGGATTCTGACCTAAAGGCTGACGCTTCGTAGCGTGAGAGACTCCGAACAGGAAGACCTCCGTAGAGACGGGAAGTGTTTCATAGGCCGGGTCAGAGTTTGCATCGCGGTCGTTGGGCTTGTTTATGCCTTCTTATGTCCCGTCTCTGGTGTCTCTGCCATGAAACGGATGACGGGTAGTTAGGGCCGGATTAGCCCCCCTCCCCCACCCCCCCAGGAGCAGTTTTGAGAGCTACGCCTTGGGTCCTGGCTGACTTCCTCGCCTGGGAAGCTTGGAAGCGGACATGTGGTCTGCGTGTGACTCCCACTGGCCGTACGCATGTTCGCAGGGAGCGTAGGTGTCCGTAACGTTTGGACCCCGTGCGGCGAATGCCATTCCGGGCTGGCAGGCCCTGATCCCACTCCAGCTGGCGTCTGGTTCTTCGGGGAGTCCGAGTATTTCGCTTAAGTGCCGTTTTGCCTCTCTGAAGCACATTTAACCAGCAGCATTGTGAGGACACAGAAAACAGGCAGACTGCATAAATCCATCCATCCATACATCATCTGTACCCACTTGTCCTATTCAGGGTCATGGGGTTTTGGAGCCTGTCCTGGAATGTACGGGCGCAAAGCTGGGAATAACTCAGGCTGGGGCGTCATCCCATCATAGAGCTTAGTTCATAGCGTGAGAGACTCCGAACAGGAAGACCTCCGTCTTTACTAGTTTAGTAAAGTGATTTAAAAACCCCTCCCTCAAAACAGCCCAGTACAGGGTGCCACACCATCGCAAGACCCTCACAAAGTCCTGTTTCTGAATGTATAGAAGAAAAACAAAAGAGGGGAGGATTTGTTCTTTTTTTGTTTTAATATAGAAGCTTGAAGCTTATATTTTGTTTGCATTTTTTCCTTTCTTAACCACAAAAGTACAGTATTGGGTCAGGGGTCAGGGTTCAGGGAGAAGCCAGTGCAGGAGTTTTGATCGGCTTTGATGGTTTGAAGTATGTGATGGTGTAAAGGAAGCTGGGTCACCGTACGTAGCTACAAAAGAACCTTTATATTAAACAGCCCCGCTACAAGAACACACAAAATAGCTTGGGAGGAATTCTGGAATTCTAGTGATTACCGGTTACCTACGGCAACAAGCATGAAGAAATAGAGGAATGAACAAGACGTGAGGATTGTCATTCTCCCACCACTTTATGCCAGTTCCTCTTTTTCAGTAGGTGGCCCGTTCCTTTCAGACTCGCTCTCCTTCCACAGTAGCCCCCAATCTTCCTTTACTCTGAAAAGCGTCGTAGTTCCACCCTTAAATTCCCCAAGTCCCTGCGACGCTCTGCCGCAGAAAAGCAGGGAAAGAAGCACACGCACTTCTGTGGGCTCGAGCATTTCAGACGAAGCGAAATTGGGCAAACTGGCATTCCGGTTGGATTTGACCCCTGAGTGTCCATATGGGACCTTCACACCGCAATGCAGCAGGGACACACAGCCAACATCACCGTTTCCTCTTCCAGGTCTCAAATAGAAGGGAATTCGAGAGCGTTTCACCCCCCCGTCCCAACAGCCGAGTAAAAAATGCTCCCACTGTTCCCAGTATTCCTTCGTATTCCCCTGCTGGAGACACTGGATGAGGTGCCACGACGAAATATAATAATTATTTAGCAGCTCTGATAGCGTAGCTTGAAAATTAGCTACCCAGCAGCTCTCAAGCAGTACTGAAGCAGAAATACGTATTTTATGTTTTTTTTTCTCTGTGCTAAACCTGTGCTATCCGTCAACCAATGGAAGACCGGCAGTGGCTGATCAGCCAGTCAGAATAAAGGAGCGACTGACTGGGGATTGTGGTTAGTTGTGTCCTTGATGAATGTCATTTTGTGGTCTTGGCTCTGTTTAAGGGTTGAGTACGGCTCACACACAACAGAGCGTAAGTCTTGCATTTGACAAATGATTGCCGGATTCTTGACTATTGTGTTGAGGCAGGATCAGCTTAAAAAAAAAATCAGTTAAAAAAAAAAAGCTTGATTTTGTCGTCATATTCAGCCAAACTTCTTTGCCACAGTCTGAAGCCATTTTGTGATCCTGGCTGATCTGGTTTATTCCTGTGTCGTCCTGGCAACGGCGATCGGCGTCGTGTTCCATGTGGCGTCCAACACAGCCGTGGCGATTGCAAAGCAAATACCGAATTTCCGGGTCTCCTGTGCACCTGTAAGACGAGCAAAACATTCGGAATTTCTCAGGAACGTTTACATGATGCAGTGCGTTCCTGCCATTCCCGCGTTAAGTAAATAAGCAAAATGAAGTTGTGAAGCACTTTACACTGCACTAAAACACTTAAAACAAAAGGATACAAGCAAAAGACTACTCAGCTCAGTTCAAACGCCTGCTTAAACGGTGTACATTTGCATTGAAAGTTAACTCAGAGAAGGTGTCATTTCTGGTGTTTAGATGTGTGGGCCACCTCAGTGTGGTATTTCTTGCTACTACCGTGATTCTTTCTCCCGAGGACCACCATGTTTAGAACAAAAGCTTCTCTCTTACAAAGAACCACTTAGTATATATGCTAAGCTGGAAAGAGACACAGCCCCCGGCTCGGGGGCAGTAAGGCACAGAGCAGTGTTGTACTTTTTAGGGAGCCGTCTTCCTATTAGCCGGGCAAGGGGGCAAAGGTGCGGCGTGCAGGACTCATACTGATTGGTCCCAGAAGGATCTTCTCCAGATCTTCCCCTTCTCCTTGGAGCCTCTCTCTCGCCTTGCTTTATCCCAGACTAATCCCGCCGCTTTTAAGATGACATCGTTTCATCTAAAAATAACTCGTGCCCCGGTGAAAACAGATTTTATAATTTTTTTCCTGGCCTGACCTCATCTGCGGGCCCAGTAACCTGCCTCACACCTGCTCTCTCTTACAGGACTATACGCTGACGATGTATTTCCAGCAGGCTTGGAGGGACAAGAGGCTGTCCTACTCGGAGATTCCCCTCAATCTCACTCTGGATAACCGAGTAGCCGATCAGCTCTGGGTCCCGGACACCTACTTCCTGAATGACAAGAAGTCCTTCGTGCACGGCGTGACGGTGAAAAACCGAATGATCCGGCTGCACCCGGACGGCACCGTGCTCTACGGCTTGAGGTATCGCCACTCCGAGGTCCCATAAGATGTGACTTGTGCTTTCGTGTGTAATAATTTTATTTCTAGGTAGTTGGCCGCCATGGTTACAGAACGATGCTGAATCACATTTCAGCATCACGATCAATTTTTTTGAGCCCGTGTTTCTTGTCCCCGTAAGACACAAACGCCAAAATCTGAAACTGAACTCTTTTTTTTTTTTTTAAATTTACCCTTCCAGGACGTCTTCATTTCACATTAAAAGTCCCTGATGGTGCTGATGTACTGCATTCACATATGTAAATCAGGCAGCACGCGGGAGCAGCTATCTAACAAGGTGTCTTATGATCTGTGCATGCGAGCTCTGTGACTATGTAAATTACGGGCGGCCCCAAGAAGCCTGTGGATATGCAATCCAATTAATATTTCAATCAGGGAGTTTCCATGAGCCTGAAAATCCTTGGGAGAAGGGTACGTATATAAATGTATGCTGCATGGGCAACAGTGCGGCAATTTATCAAGGAGATCTGTAAGCGAATGCGATGTTTGAGCTCAGACTTGCACAGACGCAGGCATGTTAAAAGCAGACCGGCTTCCCTTTCCTGTCTGTACTGACCACATCTGGACCCACAATGCATCACTCTGTAGATTGGGGCGCTCTTAAGAGATTAGAGCAGGACAGCACAGTCTTCAAGGACGTCAGAGCTGAATTTCAGCCTCATTAGCTTGTGGATGTGACGTCTTCTTCAGAGACTCATAAAAGCCACAAGCCACACATATCCCATAGTCTTTTTCATATGGCAATTGTGGCAATATTTCAAAGGACCATTATGTTCTGAAAATGGCCAGCGCTAATGACGTTTCTGCTAATGTCAGGGTGCTGGGAACAGAAGGAGCCGCTTCATTTTGGCGTGTGTTGCCACTTCATCGTATCTGACTGGAGCCACTAAGAAATTATGCTTTGCAAAGCAATTAGTCGATTGTTTTCACAAAATGATTAATTGATTATTAAAACAACTACAACAGATTACGTCCTATCATGGGGATTAAATTACAAAAATGTATGGGCTGTATGACAATATTATGGTCATCGTATAGCAATCTCCCCGCAGCTTAACAAAAACATGTATAAATGCCTTTGACAAAAACCAAGGGATATACTGTATGAAGAGCCGTTATTGATTTACAGGCTGAACTTGAAAACATTATTTTGGAAACTTTTTTCTTGCAAACAACTGGGATCAGGCAGAGATTAGTAACAATGACATGATTTATTTGCAGAAATCTGCAGGATGAATCGATCAGCACTGTTGAGAGAATGAGAATCCGGCCCTTAGGGACTCGAGTTTTATTGATGGAAACCAATCATTTTTACCGAGCCGTTAAACTTGTAATAATCATTTAAGTCGTCTATGGTAATTTACTGCTTTCCCAACCTGCTAAAATAATTCCGTTGTCAGATTTGTCCATGGGTTGGGTGGAAGATTGATGTAGGTAACGGTAAAGGCGGAGGGCGGTCCCTTCGGAGCTGGATAATGCATTTTCCATAACAATTCCCGCTAAACCGCTCTAGCGTTACAGCGCTTTGCGCTAGCTAGTGCCTGAATCCAAACGAGCTCCTGTTCAGAATCGCTCACATATGCTGTCACATATTTGCAACGCAGCCTTTGATTATTGTTGCGAGCGCAAAATTAATTGCCCGTGACCGCGGCTCTGCAGCCCAGTGCCCCTCGTCGATCCCGTTTACGGGAACGCGAACGTATTCCGCCTCCCGCCCAGACCTCGCCTTCTGACAAACGTCGGATCTGCCGGTGAAAATGGATGCTGGACGGCTGTGAGGTTATTCGGGAAGGCAGCTTTTCGGGCTGCGGTGACACGTGCCGGACTCCCTGGCAGGACGACCACGGGGACATTTGTGTAAACTAATTATATGCGTGGACTTCTGTCAAGCCCAGCATGACCAGCTGCCCCTCATCTGACGAGATGACTTGGACACTCAAGATGGCAGCACGTTATGGTTGTGGGGGCCGGGTTGGGGGGTGTGTCGGAAAAAAACAAGGGGGGTGATAATAGCAGGATGGATGTGGGAGTGGAGCTGAAAGTGATGCAGTGCTTTATTTGCAGTTTGCACAAATACAGGTACACTGGAATCACATTTTTTTGCACGTCCCGTTGAGTCTCCCTGTGAGTCGCACACGCACTTATATACAATTTTGAGCGAAGCTTTGGATCCGAGTGCAGGGTCCGGACATTTATCCGGCGCCCCTGGAGTATTTTGGGGTGGATAAGAGGCCATGCTCAGAACTGCACTGGCCATCTGCTACACTGGGCCAGCCCGGTGGACCAACAGAATTCATCGCGGGGGATCCCCCCCCTACTCAGCCAAAGATATTGTAGGGGATCCCAAGGTCCAGGGCTAATTCATAATCCCAATCAAGCCACGCTCAAGGACCCAGCAGAGTTCTGATTCGAGCCGACGCCCTTTCCGATCGCATGCACAGTGGTCCGACCCGCTGAGCACCGCCCACGTGTGCGGACCGCGCATTACGGATTCCCCGAGTACACCGGATCGCCCATCCCCCCGCTATATCCGGCCCCCGCCCGCCCAACGATGACGCGATGGGGTACTCAGGAGCTTCCATCTGCCGGCCTGGGTGAAGGAGGGGGAATTTAATAACTCTGGCCATGGTGACTTACCGGTGGGAGACGGGAGGCCCCACGCAAACGCGAGCCACCTGCGATGGTCCCTTTGTCACCCGGGTCAGCCCTGCTTCACTCAGAGCCCCGGGATTAAGTGTGAGTCTGGCAGTACCGGGCCGGATCTAGCTATAGGCAGAACAGACCACTGCTGAGGGCTCCTTGGTAACCTGTGTCGTGGAGGAAGAGAAATGGTCATTATTAGGGTAAGTCTGGGGGGGTCTCCTAAGTGAAGCTTTGCCTCGGGCCCCTGATATGGTAGAGGTGGCACTAGGGGTGTAACTTTGGGGGGGGGGGGGAGGGGTTGAGGTCCCCACCCATTTAAGGAGGTCCAGGGTGTTGTGTTGGCTAGTTTTGATTATTGGGGGGTTGTCTCCGGAAGCCAGGTCACTAGCCAGGGAACACCCTGAATGGGATGGCATTCCATCACTGGGGGGTTAACATGCCCCCATCATACAGACAACCCACAGTAAATAATAATCAATCCTTTATTTGCCATTGGCACAGGTGCGAGTACAGGTACGTTAGAATTCTCCTCTTCCCCTGCCCCATCTTGCTCTCCATGGCTTGGGGGGGGGAGGGTCACAGCATAGGCCCAACCAATGTACAGAACCCCTGGAGATGGGGGGGTAAGGTCCTTGCTCAAGGGCTCATGGACATCTGAGCATTCTACTGAGGCTGGGCCTTGAACCAGCAATCTTCCGATCACAGGCAGAGAGATTTAGTCCCGCTGAACCACTTGCAAACAAATCTCAAACCCAGGTGGTGTTTGGTACCAGCCCTAACCACAGAGCCGTGCCTGGACCAGCTTATGCTAAACTAGCTAATCATAATAATGAATGCGATAAATACTGTCTAGTGACTCACAACGAGAAGTAGACTCCCCCAATCAGCCACCTCTGAGTTGGACCAGTGACTTCAATTTCGAAATATAACACGCATTATAAATGGACTGCATAATCTTACTGTCCTCATTACAGGCCGGGAGTAATTTGATTTAGCGAGTGTGGTTTTGTGAGCAAGCTAGCGCCGCCGCAGAACACAAGTGAGTGATGAATATTCAAACAGCCCAGGCAATTTATTATACCAAGCTACCGATTCGCCGGCAGTTTTAATAACTTTTTTTTTTCCGCGCAAAACAACCGCGGGCTTTTATGTCGATTTCGATGACGCGCCGACGTGCGGCGGAAGATCTGGTGTGTAACGTTCATTGATATTCAAAGTGTTTTTGCAGGCCTTACTCTCCAATTAACCGTCAAAGGCTATTTTAATTGCCATTGTAAGATTAAGACTGTGGGAAATACGTCTGGGTTAATGAAGGCTTGTTTCCTTGGGTCTGGCAGCAGATCTGGGCTTCTTATAGACTGGAGCACAGTGTTTGTTCATATTATTATGTTTATCTTTTCGGTGGTTGATTAGTCAGGACACCCGAAGAGATTTACAGTGTTACATATTCATACCACTGGGTATTTCAGCAGTTGAGTTCCATGCCCAAGGGCATTATAGTGAAGCCCCTCTAGGGGTTGGAACCAGCAACCTTTCGAGTCATTAAGCACTAGGCTTCCCACCGTTACCATCCAGGATAGAGCAATGTCTCACCGCGCATTATATATGATTACACTGTGCCCAGGGAATCGCTGTCGATAGCAGGCGAGCTGGAAGCTGTAACGAGCGAATCCTAGTCGGCGTTCAAGTGAGAAAAGTTTGAGATGGAGATGTCCCTCGATGTCTTGCCATGATCCCACACAGCGCTGTAACTCACCACCATGATTTTTCAGAGGACTGAAGACCCCCAATTTGAACCTGGTTTTGGGGCCAAGTCTTGTGTTTTACCGAGATCCATGTTTTTTAACCCATGTTGCTATCTCACAGGTTTGTCATGCACCCCAACCAAACTACGACAAAATGACGATAATTGCAGCAGAGTGAATGTTTCTCCGCTGGCAAAATGTATCACTTATAAATATCGGTCAAAATTGGCGCAGCAGCGTATTTTGACAATGTCAAATTTATACCCAACTGTCCCTTTTTCCCCGTCACCCATTTCGCCGCTTCCGCTGCAGCTAGGCTGACCATGTATAAACCACAGCCAACGCAGGAGCGAACCACTGGCTTCCGATGGCCACCTCCCCGCCTCCCTTCGTCACATGCTCCGCCCCCAGCCCCGCCTCCCTTCGTCAGAATGCTCCGCCCCCATGCATTACAGTCGAAAAAACCAAGACTGACAGTTGCATCATTGAGTTATTCAAACTCTCTTTCCATTCCCATTGACCCCCACCTCTACCTGGGACCTGTCTGATAAACCTCACATGATCGCAGTCTTCGTCGTCCTATCCCTTCTAAATATATTTTCTATGCTCTAATAAATCTGAGGTTGCGCTCTGCACGTATCGAGCTCTGTCACAGTCCGCGCTTCCTAATTTGGGTTTGACACTTTGGCAGCTACGCTTTGTTGGGTTTATTTGAGCTGTCGTCGCTCTCCTGGGGCCCCGGTCGTCTGGCCTTTGTCCTGCCCTGCCGTGCGGCTGTGTATCGCTGCACCGCACCAAGCACCGAAGGCTGACAGGCTTCGTTATTTCCGCTGGAATGGCGGCTATAGATGAAGAGAACGGGCTTCTGGAGCATGATGGGCCTGTTTGTTCACATCTGCGCCGTGGTCTGTGAGCTCGCAGGCTCGCCGTCCACCCGAACCATACCGACGGCGCGGGAATGGGATTCATTCAGCAGGGACTGTGCCTGGGGAGGAAAAAAGGAGGGACCCGTCCCTTTGGTCCGGAAGCCATGAAGTGAGCCGTGATTCCTACAGCGACACATATCAGTTCTCCACGTTCCCAGATACTTCTCGGAGCAAATTCAGCTCCAGCTTTGAGGTGCAGGGGGGGAGCACGGAATAATCTAGGGGGTGGGGGCTGAATCTGACCTCTTTTATTCTTGTTGGTAACACTCATGTGCTGTAGAACCTGCAGTATTTCTGAAAGTGGAGGGAAATCCGAAAATGCACAAGGGGAACCGAAAATGGACAAGGGGAACCGAAAATGGACAAGGGGAACCGAAAATGCAGAAGGGGAACCGAAAATGCACAAGGGGAGCCGAAAATGGACAAGGGGAACCGAAAATGCACAAGAGGAACCGAAATGCACCGAAGGTGCTAAAATTTGTCATGTGATTGGCCCCGGGGTGAGCCAAGCTTCGGAGCGAGCTGGGCCCGAAGAGAAGATCCGGAGAACCGGTTTGGCCTTCGCGGTGACGGTGGTTCATCGGGGCTTTGAGTTAATCGCGGGGGATTCTCCTGGTTCCTGGCCCGGTGCCGTCACTGAACCCGTTCCACGGGCCCCGCGTGGCGGAGGGAGACACCGGAGGGCGCTGATGAGGGCGGAGGTGCCGGGGATAGGTGATTAGCTCCGCGCCGCCCTGACGGAGCCTCCCGGCTGCCCCGGGTTTATCTGGCGCGTCCAGCGCGGCTGAGATTATTACCCAGGGTGCCTCTTAAGCGCAGCACGTCACCGAGACATAGACACCAGCTGGCAGTTCCCAGAACAGCCCTCACTTTGGGGCTCACCGTCTCTATTAGCTGTCTCTCCCTGTGCAGCAAGCTCCATTTGGTAATTTTCTGCACTACTGTATTCATTTAGTGCCTGGAAATGTTGAAAAGAGAAAGGGAGAGACAAAAAGACAGGCGAATCTGGCTAAACGTATACGTGTGCGCTGGCACGGGGCAAGTCGGGCTGGATGGATGCAGCTAAAATCGATCGAGCTTCGAGTTGTGGGGTTTTGCTTATCTTAGGAGAGACTGCAGTGCAGTCTGCAGTCAGAAGCCATATATGCGTGTGTGTGCGTGAGTATATATAATAAAATATACATCTCTACACGCAGCCCATTCTATGCCTTTCACTGATACAGGCACAGTCCCTCCATCTCACTCTTCTGTCATACTTTTCCACTGTAAACTTAACGTTTCTCTCGACCACCATCCTGGACGACCCTGAAGCCCCAGCGGAGGGGGGCACCATCGGGAATCGACACCCCCCCCCCCCACCCCCATGCACATTTTGGGGGGGGTTTAACGGTTTGTTTTTCCCACCATCGGCGCTCTTTAAAGAAACGCTGGCATGAGGCAGGATGCCGTTTATGTCCCGATTATTCATTTATCAAGACGTATGTATTTGGGTCTTCGGTAAAATAGAGCTAAACCAAGTCTGAAGATTCTAAAATAAAGTATGTGAACAGAACAATTGAGAGGTGTTTGCAAGCCCTCAGAAAACACCCCATACCAGCTGGCCGGTCATTAAGGTTTGGCTGTGGGGGTGTGTTTATGAGTGTGGGGGGGTGTTGGGGGGGGGTCGTGTATCCAGGCGGGCAGGAGGGAAGATGTCTATGTGGGCATTTGTCTGCCTGAATGACTTAACGCAAGCGGGACACAATCTGTTACGGAAGTACATGGCTCAGTTTTCCAGTGAAACCAGTACTGTGGAATGCACCGTGGAGCCTGTTAAGTGTGGCTTTCACACACACACACACACACACACACACACCTTCGTATCTCAGCTAAATGGGGGCGTTTTTCAAACCCAAGTCGTTCTCAGCTCCCCGAAGAATAAAAAGTGAAGCTGACTGTCTTCTCCCGGCATCTCACGCCTGTTTTTTACTCACTAGGATTTCATCGTTTTCTGGTTTCATTTTCGCTGCCGTCCTCGCAGACGTTAACCCAAAATGGAGACGGACGATCTTAATAACAAGGAAACTGCCTGTACCATGGTCCTGTGGGTCACTGGATAATTTAGTCACTGAGGCACTGGATCAAAATAGCCAAAACACTTTTATATATATTTCTAAAATTGCAAAAATGTCTAAATAATGTTGCAGAATTAAGGTAATTTGTAGTTTCTATGCATTGCAATACACTCCCAGTTCTTCTTTATTTATGTTTTGTTATCTGTTATAATATTGGCATCTGTAAACAAAAACAGTCCGCGATAAATTATGCACATCGCATCCTTCATGTTAACCCGAAGGCCACTAATCAGTCGATTCATCTGTTTCTCTCTCGCCAAGGTACATCGTCTTCCTTCTTGCTCATTTGTGCAGAGTGATTCCTGCAATCTCTTCTGCAGTCTAGCAATTACAGCAGTCCGGGGATGGGGAAGAAAAATGTAGATTAAACCTGGCACCAAAAACTATGAAAGGGAATTTCTTTTTCTTTTTTTTTTTTTAATGATATCACTTCCTCTCTGCCCTGGCAGCATTTTCAGGTAACGTCCCGTGAAATGAAGGAGGGCGTGAGTGTTTTGAGGGAGGGGTTGGGTTACCGACTAGTTAACAAAACTCTGTGATGGGATGGCATCCCATAACCTCCGGCTTAAGCTCTGGACCCCCCGCCCCCATGACCCTGCATAGGACAAATGGGTATGGATGGATGGATGGATAATCTCCCTTTGACACCGTCCAATGACCCTTCATTCCAAAGGACCAGGCTTGTCACACATAACATGTTGTTCACCTATTGCTCTGGAGTCAAACATAAGGACATATCAATGGACCATTTGTGACAATGTTATGTGTATTTTATGCATTATTATTTTACGTTTAAATATTTCATTTAAATATTCAGTTAATTTTAAAGACATTTGTCTGCTTAATACAAAGGACAGTTTTTTGTCTCTTCACTTGTGGTCTGTCACGGTTTGTCCCAAACAGAAGCTGTGTTCCGTGTGACACTGTGCTCTTTTTTTGGGGACACGTCCTGAGCTGTCCCCCTCCCCCAGACGGGAGGGCTCCCTCCGTCCCGGGGAAGGTCCAGAGCCCCGGTTTTGGGTCACTCTTACCGCTCATGATGTACCTTCGCGCGGAGGGGGGGCCATTCCCGCCAGAAGGCGCGAGGCACCCCGGGTGACCCGGAAGGGTCGGGACGGCTTTCCGAGTGGCACCGGAACACTCGGCGTGTGACGCGGTCGCCTATTAATACCCAGGGGGAGCTATTTATATCCTGTTTCCCTTTGACCTGATTTCCCGCGTGATCCGAGGTAGCGCCGCAATTGAATTGTCAAGAAGGAGGGCGTCGGCTAGAGCTGAAGCCGTGATTTATAGCGAGATAAAACTAGGGCAGCGATTTCACTGGGCTTTTTAATCGGTGGGCTCTCGGTGTTAAGTACCTCAGAATTACGTAAACTCTTCACAGAACCGATTGAGCTACACACATATGCAAGAGCATAACTTTGGGTTGAACATTAAGGGGATTGAGGTATTTATTTAGGGGGGTTCATGGGCAACCCCCCCCCCCCCCCCCCGCTTAATTTTCAGATGGACGTTTTTTAAATATTCATACCATACTCTTCAAGTCTTGAGCGGAGCTGAATATCTTTTATAGTTCTGCAGTTTCGTGTGCATACCTATACATGGAACCGGGTTCATTTGACCTTAGCTGAACGTGGGTGAGGTTCTAAGCTTGAATGGCAAATTTTGAAAACTCGAAAACTTTGAAAAGCCCGAGTGGGTTCAGGACACTGCAATGGTAGCTTTTGTGCCAGTCACAAAGGAAGCCATTATTGTAATTGCAATACTGTTTTAGTTCATGGCTCTGCTAATCAACTAAAAAACATACATTTTCTTCTTGGATGCGATTCGGCACATTGTCAAGACTGCGCCAATTCAGCAGATTAATTATGTAGACGCAATTTCTAATCCCACATTCATAATTTCATTAATCAATAACCCACAAAGGCCAGTTTCAGAGACCTTCCGCATGTCATTCAATTAGTCATATCTATATGATGGCAGCGATATAAAATGAGTAAATTTAATATGGATGAAACAAGAAAAATAGTTAATTAGGACTATCATATCATATCAGTTATCTGGTAAGTGCATAGTTGCAGTACGTGTTTTAATGTAAAGTTCTTTGCTCTAACGTTTGAGGGTTTTGAATGGGCGTATTTATGATTGTACAGGGAAATTCCTGGAGTCATTTTGTTTGACAGCATTTTACACTGACGAGTGTAAGGCAGGGGTGGCCAACCTTATCCGCAAAGGGCCGGTGTGTATGCAGGTTTTTGGAATAACCTGTAGGTCAGCTGTTCAAACCCAGGTGTGAGGACTCTTCAGCCAATCAGTCCTCTAATTAGTAATCTAATTAGGGAGTTGCAGCGAAAACCCGCATACAGACCGGCCCTTTGCGGATAAGATTGGCCACCCCTGGTGTAGGGTGTAGTTTACCCAGTGTTATTAGCTTGTCATTAGCTAGTTCTCACACCTGCTCTTGTTGCAGCAGATCCTTGAAAAACTTCTCCCTGTGTGTCTTCATCCAGAATCACCACCACGGCCGCCTGCATGATGGACCTCAGAAGGTATCCACTGGATGAACAGAACTGTACCCTGGAGATAGAGAGCTGTGAGTGTCACCACCGTCCTGGCAGTTTACTCTGAAGCAGTGTTACTCACCCCCCTCCCCCCCCCCCCCCGTCCCACCCCCGGGGAGTCCATGCTCTCGCTCCCCCCAGCGGAGCAAGAATGTGGACCTTCTGCGGGTCCCTGAGGACCCGGTTGGGAAAGACTGATCTGAGGAACCCCACCAAAATGACACTCGGTAAACATCCCGGTATTATCACCAGACATATTTGCAGTTGTGTGTTTGAGATTTTGACACAAACTCCAAAGTCATGAAAATTAAATACATTCAGCTTTAGCACGGCTGTTTGAAGCAGGACTTTAATCCGCAAAACAACGAAAACAAAGAAAGGGGTCCTTTCTGAGAAAACCATCCAGTTTGACAGCAATTTCTACATCCCAGTTGATACGTTCAATGTAAGTAATTGGGAGCACTGGCTAAGCTTAGTCTACAGGCTCGAATTATGACAAGGTATTGTTTATTCACTCCTTTTGTCTTTTTATCCCTTTGTGGACTTTGCTGCAGTCTCTGTGCATCAATGTTCATTTAAACGTCCTTCTCTCTCACTGAGTATGAGGGGACTCTGATGTGGGTTTGCAGTTTGTACCATTATTCGTCGTATGGGCCTTGGTTGGGTCAGAGACATTTCGCCTAATGGAATAAAAAGAGAAGTTGATGGATGGATGGATGGATGGATGTCAGAGGTGTAAATGATATGTGGCTGTCTCTTTTTTTATGTATTTTATGTAGTTCAGGTCCAGAAAGTAAAAATCCAGACCAAGAATTTGTTTCAATCAACCAGTTGACTATGACTGTAGTCTTTAAACTCAACTGGTTGGATGAAACTAAATCTTGAACTTGATTTTTACTTTCTGGACCTCAACTGGATGGATGGATGGATGGATGGATGGACGGACAGACGGCCTCTTTCATGTTTGCTTGGCTAGTTTACTGTTTACTAAGTATTTTCTCCTGTCTGGCTCCATGTGCAATTCTTTTCTTCTCAGGAACCGCAGTATGAGGTCCGCTTTATTTTGAGTGCAAGCCCTGTGGGCATGATTAGGGTTTTATCATCCCTGTTATATCACATATGACATCTTGTTTTTCATCCACAGAATCAGTCACAGATTTACAGAGGCTCCCAACACAGTAGTGGAGGTACAAACCACTGGTCAGAAGTTTTGGCGGGTTGCCTATATTCTCAGTTGTTTCACTGGAAAAAAAAAACCAAGTGTTTCTTTTTCCCAATCAGGGAACACACCTTGAAATCTACTAGCAATTGAGGACACTTGTCTATTTCGGGCCTTCTTGTTTATCAGGAGAATTATGGGTAAATGTCAGGTTCATTAGTTTACGAACTCCCTGGTATTAAGGCAGTCCGGCCAATTAAAGGGGATATATAACATATTAAGAACCTAAGAATACCATGTTTGCATAACCTTAATGACAATGACCTTCATCCAGACTGAGCAGAAGGGCATGCTGGGAAGGGAGAAGAGTTATAGGAAAAGGCACATGGTCAAATCCCATTTCCCTGATAGGTCGCTGTCAGGTGGAGAGAGCGCACTGATTAATGTTTGTCACAGGCCACTCGAGCCACTGAGTAAACACGGCTGAGGGAAACAAGCAATTAAAGTGGCGGAGAAGCTTGAGGCTCGCGAGGACGCGCTGGCTGGGACGACGGGTAATGGGAACTCCTGGTCATCTTCAGTAACCTACAGGGCAATGCTCCTGCTTAATTTAGCGAGGCCCCCTTTTTAGCGTCAGCGCTAATGAAAATGAAAAACTATTCCGCGGCTGTTGCTGGTGGTGTTCTTTCCCACCTGCTGCAATCGCGGCTTGCTGGGTCCCTTCGATTACCGAGAGGCCTGACAGGGCGGCCTTACGGTAAATCTTGGTTATGGGGCCTGTCCAGCCCCCCCCCCCCACTTAATTCTTGAAAACTCAAAAAATAAAGCAACAAGAAATCCCGGACGAAGATCTCGCAGGAGGTACCCTTACACCTTAAGGGCCATGCTGATTTTGCCAAGTTTGACGTGTTCCCTGGGTCAACAAGGGAGGGGCCTGTGTTTCAGTTCTTTAACCAATCGCAGTCTTCATTGTATGACATCATCACATTGGTCGATTTTTTTTTCTTTCTCATTTTCAAGCTCAAGGCTTCCAGTCATGAAGTAAGGAGCACTGTGGCACAAGTTAAAATCTGTTGTTGATATTATTATATATCTACGCAGCTCACCGCTTAACAGAGGACACCGTTTTTAATTAATGCGGTGATGTCATACAATGGAGACCGTGGTGCAATGCTAGCCACTCACTTGTTGACCCAGGGATGCATTGGACTCGGGGAAAATCAGGACGTCGCACCTTTAAGACATCAGTCTCAGTCAAGTTCACCTAAGCACTGTTAACACTGTCTGATATGTCTGATTAACAATTACATAATGAACGTGTTAGCGGCTAGAGCAGGGTGACTTTCGGAAGCATTGCTAATATACCTGAACCTGATCTTTCATATTCTGTTTTAAGTTATTAGCAAATATATTTTATTTCCAGTGGGAGTAGTTTTTTATAAGGATGGGGGGTTTCTCTGAAGAGGTATTTGGGGAGTAAGTGCTGTGTGTCTAATTAATGAGGGTAGGACAAATGAACTTCTGAAATCTCATAAGTGCGACAATAACAATCTCTGATACAGGGGATACACTGGTGAGGAGTATCAGGTGGCCAGAACTGTCCAATCGTGGTGAGCCTGGAACATAACCTAGGAGTCCTGGGACCACCCAGGTGCCCGGAAACAATGGTAACAGGCATTGCTATCCCCTGTATCAGAGATTGTTATTGTCGCACTTATGAGATTTCAGAAGTTCATTTGTCCTACCCTCATTAATTAGGCTAAAGGGTGGCAGAAGGAGACCAGGATGATAGCTTTGCTGCGTTCGCCACAGGCAAACCCATGTGTGCCTTACTGGGCATCGTGGGCGGGATGATAGAGGCGGGAAGCAATAAGAACACTGCCGATTGGCTGAGTGATGCTAAACCCCTGACAACCATAATAAGAACACTGCCGATTGGCTGAGTGATGCTAAACCCCTGACAACCATAATAAGAACATTGCCGATTGGTTGAGTGATGCTAGACCCCTGACAACCATAATAAGAACACTGCCGATTGGTTGAGTGATGCTAGACCCCTGACAACCATAATAAGAACACTGCCGATTGGTTGAGTGATGCTAGACCCCTGACAACCATTCAACAAAAAACGTGCCATTTTCTGTAGCAACAATAGGTTGAAGAGTGGGGGATAGATGCATACAGTGTTAATCATACAATATTATGATATTATTTTTAGATCTTGATTACATCTTGATTTATATATGCATGTTTATTATAGGACTGGAAATTATTGACATTTCTTTGTTTTTATTCTCCTGCTGTGTTAATTCATGTCTTTAAATTCTTTAACTGACATGGACACCAGGCTGAACTTCCCTAATATTCTGTTTGGTTTTTATTTGCACTGTTTTGATTTGACTTTCAGCGCTTCGTAAATAAATACATAGCATATATCCTGAGTTCCTGCATCGCTATTCCTCTAATCCGTCTTTGATTTATGGGTTTTTATTGCAGCCTCTCGCACTAAATCATTTGATAGTGTAATATACTATGTGTAGCCTGTGTATTAAGATAAATCGATGGTTTCGTGAATATAAAGAGCAGGTTAGTTGCTTGCGGCGTCTCGCAGTTTCATTGGTCGTGAGTCTGTACTGTTTCTTGCTTTTTCACCAGTGATCTCAAACATGATTTCTGAGCCCTGTTATAGCTGATGTTAAATTTAAGTCGGAATAATAAATCGATGAACTTTTATATTTGTTCAGCAACTACAACGGAGAATGGGGGTTAGAAATAAATTTTTATATATGTAATATAATATGCAGTACCATGCAAAAGTCTTAGGCCAGGGGGGGGGGCAACTCCAGTCCTGGGGGGCCGGGGCCCTGCACATTTTTGGGTTTCCCCTCGTTTAACACACCTGATTCAACTCCTTGTGCTAATTACCACACAGCTGTTGAGCTAAATCATTTATGGTGGAACAGGGAAAGAACTAAGCCAGACAGGGCTTCGGCCCCCCAGGACTGGAGTTGGGCACCTCTGTCTTAGGCGGTCAAAAGAAATGTTTCAAGCTATTTCCCCACTGGTAATAAGTGCACTTATATATATATATATATACACACACACACACTAGATATGTCCCTGTCTGTTCCAGTACATAACCAGAAATGGGATCTTTCACACCCTGTCTCTGATACACTCTTCATAGTTTTATCTCCTTACAGTGATGCAGCCAGAAAGGACTTAGTGAGGAATTTGCTCCTTTTTCCCCGTGAAGAACAGCATTAATAATCTCTGAAGAGAGTCCTGCATCATTTCAGCGTCGACCTCGTTCCCTTTTCGGTTGGCCTGTTTACTACATGCTCCTTCTTTTACTACACCGTGGTGCTAAAATAAGTCGCTATGCTGAATGCACCCCCAGCTGCATTAGGCCGGGTATAACGCAGAGGATTATGGGACGCAAATTGCGGCAGGAGACACCTGCCGCGGACAGACGGCGCCGTGTCGAAATGCTCGCCGCGGGTTTGCGCGCAACAGTCATGGGACACAGAAATAGTACTGATTTTATTTTACACTTGTCATTTTTATGGATTCAATTCAGATGGGGAGGGGGGTTAGGATTTTCCCACAAAAAAAAAAATTGTCAATTCGGCAGTGGAGTCAGCAAGCTAATTAACTAATTTGGGCCTTAATACAGTACGTCTTAATACCTCAACTAGCCCCCGTTCCTCATGTCTCTCTGTCTGGTCTGGCTTATACCCAAAGTACACAACAGACCCAAATACGTAAATGTCAAAGTGAGGTACAGGTGGTATGACTTCCGACTAATCTACATAAATCTTAAAGGGCCGGTGTCAGAAAAATATGACAACGTTACGTCACTTAGGAAGTGTTATTTGAAATAGATTCAAAAAGCATGAGGTACTGCC